ACTTAGAGATTCTCGTAATTCAAACATGGATGGTCATAAGGGTGAGTCTAGATGGATGACCATAACCCCTAGTCCTTCTTTTAATTATTTGTTAATTTCAATTTGAATTTGCACCAAACAAACTCTTTTGCAATTGCTTTAGATAAACAAAGTTAGAGTAAAAATTCGGTAATCAAATATCTCTCAGTGGGTTCGATCTTTTTACTACTTGACACAGTCGTGCACTTGCGATTCACATACATGAACAATCCCACCATAAAAGGTGGAAAAATACCCTATGAAAATTTGAAAATGCCTATCAGATTTCAGAAATGTATCTTTGGATGCACCCTGTGCCTCACTGAAACACGCCCCAACTGAGACTCACCCCATATTTTTTACAAAGTTTGTTTCAGAGATGCATCTCTGGACTCACTCTAACAATTTATTTATAATTTAACAAACCAGTAAGTATAGAACTATTCTCTAGAAATTCAAACGGGATGACATCAGTTCAAGAAAATGTGAGTGTCTCTTTAAGTTGTGTGGTTATCTTTTTTCAAATAACAAATGAAGATTTAATGAGGAAGATTTCTTTTCCAGTAACCAATATGAAACTCAACATCAAAGAGCAATTGGGGAAGATTTCTTTTCCAGTAACCACTAATTTGAAACCACCATCTCATTTGATAAAAATAAAAGGTGCTCCTAAAAAGGTCAAACCAACACCGAGTGACAATTCAACAATGTGGCCTCCTTCATATTTTGAGCATGTTGACAAACTTTTTTCGGATTCTCCAACTCCAAAATCTCAAAAAAGGTGTTTTCAAAGGAGCTCACATTAGCAAATCACCTTCGTCACCGTTGTTGGAACAAGTTTGGTTCTACAACTTACCTTTAGGTTTTTATGATAACAAAGTGTAGAAGAAAAATTTTATACACTTACTGTTCTGTTAAGCGTGGATGAGCTCATAGGCTATAAAAAATCTAAATAAAGAGAGCAAATACTGAATGAAGCAGATTCTGATCAAGAAACTTCTAATGTTAAGTGTGAAGTCAACTATGATAGTCAACTCAAAAGAAATAAAATTCTAATGGAAAGAAAACTCCAAATCAAAGCAAAGTCTGAAGCAAGGTATGAATGACATCAAATTATCAAAGCCAGACTCTGAAGAAAAATATGCCATTGAAGAAGTCAATCTGAACGCAAAAAAAAAGAACGAAGAAAGCATAATGCAAACTCTGAAGAGAAAACACATTATGAACAAAAGGAAGAATACAAAGATGTATGTAAAGCAAGTAAAGCTTCAAGATTATCAACTCAACATTTCTGAATACAAACCATCCAGATAAACTCTGACAAATCTCTAACTACAAGTTTGTGTGTTAGTCTCAGAAACAAATATTCCCAGGAATCTAAGTTATCATCAAGTTTTGAAGACAACTTCTGAGAACTCTACTCAAGCTTCATCAAATTATATTAGAAGCCTCTGACTAGAAGTTTGTAGCTAAAGGAAATAGTTCTCTTACAGTAAAAGCATCTGACCAAACTAGTAAATGCTTCTGCATTTCTTGTTCACATTTACTCTGGATTGTAGTACTTTCAAGCATCACTTTAAATAAACTTTGTAGTCTACACCATCTAGGCTCTAGAATCTGATCAAGCTTTACTTCATCTTTTATATGAGGCCTATGATTATAACGAGTAGTACACTCAAAGAAAGTACATTCAAAAAGAAATTTCCTTATGAAGACAGATTTTGATCTCTACTCAAGCTTCAATCCACTTTCATAAGGAGCCTCTGACTAGAAGATTTGAATTAAAGGTCAATATTGTTTGATGTGATAGAAGTACAAAAAGCAAATCTACTTTCAAAGTAAATAAGCTTCTCATGTCCCATCAACAACGACTCTCTACTGCAAAGCACCACTCTATTGCTGCATATGTAGTGACCTCCATACAACAAATACTTTAAGGAAAATTCTTTTTCTACCCTCTAACGAATTTATCCTCCAACGAATTTATTCATCTCTTATATATTTTGACAAAGAAGAATATGGAAGATGAGTGGGTAAAAGTGTGAGAGAGAAGAATGTCGAAAGGAGAAAAAGAAGTGGATGCAGGCATGTGTGTGGAATGATACATGTATTAGTCTTAACAAACGTTGAAGCTACAAACACCACAACACAACAAAGAGAGAAACATCTAGAACTTTCATTGTATATCTTTTAAGTGTATTCATTTTAACTTCATCTTAAGTGTTATTAGCTTATCAAGAAGTAAACCCTGTAAACACAAACTGTTGTAACCCAGTTGGTTATATTCCTCAAGCGAACAAGTTGGTCAGGCTCTCGAGAATTCGGTGACGGGTAGTCATTGAGGATAAAATCTTTTTAAGCGACTGCGTAAGTCAGGATCTTAAAGAGTCAATGACCTTCAGGATTTCTTAAGCGACCGGGTAGGTGAGGCTCTTAATGAATCAATAATAAGTTGTCATTGCATTTGTAATCAATTTTGATTATTGGATTAAGTCTTTGTCTTATGTGAAATCACTCAGGTGGGTGGACTGGATGTAGCCTAGTTAACGATGAACCAGGATAAAATGCATGTATCTTTTATCATTGTTCTTATTCTTATTGTTGCTATTCTTGCGTTTGTATTAGGAAAGAAAAAAGTTGTCATACTAGAAACCCAATTCATCCTTCCCTTTTCTTGCGTTTCCTGCTCCTTCAACTGCCTTTTCCAAAAATCCAATTCATTGACGGGATGTCAGTTTTTACACAAATACATTAAACGAATCGTCAATGTTAAGGGTTACGGTAACCGTGGTTATCGAGCTATTTCTGCTTTGCCCAGTAAAAGAGAGGATGATAATCAATTTTTATGCATTCAACTTATCAAAGAGTTGAAGACCCATAAAGAATCATACACCCGACTATACAGGGAAAAAAAGAAAAGTTGATGCAATTCATGAATCCATTGTTCCTTGCATTAGTGGATTGACGCCAGGGGAAAATTGATGTGTTTCTTTGAAATAGGTCATCTTATAGCAAAATGCGTATGAAAGTGTGAGTATTAATTTGGCAAGACATGGTTTTTCGGGAAAAAAATTATTCCACTACACACTGACCCATCTCCAAATCCAAATGATCGTTTTATATGTATTAGGAGACTTTCAAAAGCGTTGTACTTCGTTAAGTTTATTTGAATTTGGAATGTCCTATACCACTGACATCACTAGAGTGACAACTCATTCATCAAACAAATTCGAGACTTGGCCGGATCATTTTTTAGAAAGGATGCAAGAGTTCACCAAGTTAAGTGAGATTGAAAGAGAATCAAACATACAAAAGTCAAAGCCGGTACCGCCCACAAATATAGATTTAGTTTGAAACACATGTTTCGATTCATTTTAGCTTTTATTCAACAATGTATTTATGTGATTAGACATATTTTATATGTAATATTCTATTAATATTAATGCAATTTCAATAAAAAATTGCAATTTCAATTTTATATGCAATTTTTTAGAAAATTTTTCCATTTCAATATAGGTTATATTTTTGTCAGTTTTTGAATTTTATTTTGTGTTGAGTGGTTTCGAAAATACATCTCTGATATAACATGATAGTAGCGGAAATGCATCACTGGTACATCCCATGATACAAGATATAATTTCTAAGGTCCATATTGACCTAGAACTACTATAAGCATGGGACTTTCATCTCATTTCTCTTTCCAAATCACATTACACCAAAATGAACATCAAATGACATTGTCGCATATGTCTACTTCAATGACGCAAATCCCTCAATTGAATTTAAGTTCAATGAATACTCCTCTTGAAGATCTAAAATTCATATTGGAGAATCTCCTAAAATACTCCAACAATCGAACAATTGTGAAGCTCGAGCACCATTCGTCCTCGATTGACAACGAGGAAAAGATTGAGTTCAACAAGTTTGCATTGAATACAAATGTAGATTTAAGGGTTGTGTGAAATACATTTTTCCGTCACGAAACAAAAGTTCCACTCAATGTGGATGCTATGATTTTGAGATCAATCAGAGATATAATTTAGATGTTGGAACGTCCACCTGAATGCTGAAATATAATGTCCGATTTATGTTAACTCACTTACGTGATATTTTATTTTTTATGTTAGCAAGTTAATTTTTATTTTCATTCTAAGTTAATTTTTATTTTCATTCTGCATCTTTTTGGTTGTGTGATTGTTTATACTTTAGTATGATTAAAAAAAAAAAGGAGCAAAATAGACATAAATATGAGACGCAACTCAAAATCAGATAGGGTTATGTATGTTTGAGTGCGTCTAAAAATATATCTTGGCAATCAAAGAGTATTTTGGATTTTCACGAAGATGTGGTAGCAATATATAAGGTGCTTAAGCAATTCTCCATTCTTTTTAGAGGCAAGACAAGTAAAAGTTTTGTTAAAAGGTTTAGGATTTCCTTTATTATTAAAGATTATTAAGGATCATTAATGACTTCACTACCAATGATGTCTCAATAATTTTGGTCAGCGATTAGATCACACAAACATAGCTGGATCAAATGGATAAAAGGTTTGCTTGTTTGACTTGAAGCTTACTTTGATAAAGAAGCGGAAGATAGTTACTAGGAAGTAGGTCGATATGTATTCTCTTTATCTATCTTAACGTGTCATTTCTGTACCCGTATATGAACTTATCGATTGTTTAGAATTGTAACGATAGAAAACACAGTTGAGCAAAAGAGTCTCATATCCCAATGACTAAAAAATAAAGAATATTCACTAGATGCATTTCTTAAGTCTATATGTAACAATACAAAATCCCCATGAAAATGAGGTATACAGCACCGTTATTTCTGTACACAACCTATATCTAATCTAAAAGTTTTATACAATTGGAAAAAGATTCAAAACCAATTCCGGAATCATCGGTCATGGCTCCTATTCTTGCATCTACAATCTACACAACCAAAACCTGGTCTTCCAAATTTCATGTACAACATAAGGCTCATGAGGCTCTGTGAACGTTCACATTCTCATGAACACTCAACACAACATTCCTCATCTCAGGAAAAATGGAGACAAGTAGAAGTTCCAAAATCGCATATGCAAGTTGTTTCACACATACAGAAGACTAAAAAGCAAACAAGACATAGAATTGTTAGTTTAGCAGAATTTTTTTCAAGCAGACACCAGAAGTAAATGCAAACACAAGAAAGAAGTTTACAACAAGTGAATACAGCAATTGAGTAGGAATGTAACCTGACTGAAGTAATATATATCCCTCGCACAACGTCTGTACTGCTTATGTCCGATCAAGCTAACTAAAGTTGTTGGAGCTCCATCTGATGAAAATAGAGATAGGATAACTTCATATGTAAAAGTTTGAGGTGTAAATTATGGAAATGGAACTACTATATTTCATCCTTCACAAGATTCTAAAGACACACAAAGAAACTTCAAAATACCATAACATTTAAAGGCCTTCTACAGCAACTATGTTCCCCAAAAAATTTCTTCAATGAAGTCTATAATGTAGACAAATCATAAATTTGAACAAATGCGTGATCATAAAAATGTTTCCTTTCATATCTTTATGGTTGCAGAAATAGTACTCCATAAATCGTTGAGGTTTCAAATAACAAAAAAATATTCATATTAATTTAGATACTCAACTAATTAGTAAAACACCTCAATAATAAACTTAATTACTACCAGTCTCTTTGAATCAATCTTCTTATCTCGGGTCCTATCATTATTATATTACTTTTTTAGTCATTTTTGTGAAAAGAGTATGTTGGAAGGGTATAATTACCCATAAGAAAACCATGGGGCATGACAATGACACAAATTGTGAAGTGTCAATGCAAATGAGTCAAACTTAACAGGGTGTTTATTAGTCATAGACTCAATTTCGAAGAAAATAACAAAATTAGGTATGAAGAATAAACAAAGCATCAAAAGTGGAAGAATATATCCATTAACAACCAATCTAATATTAATCAATATAGATTTCTACTTAAAATAAAACTTACCAAACAGCAATTTCTTGATGTCACTTTCTCTACGTGCAGCCTCAAGTTGTTGCTCGAAAGACCCGGATTCGTGTTTCGTGATGTTGCGCCCCTCAGATCCACTTATTGTTTGAGAAGACTTTTGATCACTGCCACCATTTGTCATCTGAAGTGTCCCTATTCTCAAAAAAAATGTACCACCAGGCCAGAGGAACTGAAAAATACAGCCACACAACATCAAACATATACACAAACCAATGTTCCTAACATAACTTCTTCATTTTTGTCGGGTGATGATTCCATCCAAGTTCAAGAAAAGGCAACTGTAAATTTAAGGCAACACTTTATCCCTTCACCAGTAATTAGATTTTCGGTTCACCAAACAGAAAACAAAAAAAACACAGGACGCATTGAGCATTTCTTGATGGAAATTTTCATTAAAATTTTGGAAAACCTTAAACATATCCCATATTTTATTTCACATCTAACAGAAATATGCAGGTTAAAAAGGAGGAGATTAGAAGACAATTGTTCCATGTTAATAAAAACATTATCACCAAAAAGGATAACAAAATACTGGATCAAGTGAAATTTAAAGCAACATTAATCAACGACCAAGAAGCGACATAGTATTAGTAGTTTTGAGATACCACACTGCAACTGTGAACCCTAAGTTAATTTCATTAGAATTTACAAAGTAGCTTATGGAAATTGGGCTCTTGTGTGAAAAGATTTGCTAGATGTATTAAAACCTTTTTGGGCTAACAAGAGCAAAATAACGAAACAATGAAATTAGGTTAAAAGGTTCTAGATTCATTTTATTAAAAGTAAATAAATAAAAGCTTTATTCATCCGATAGATATATGGCCATTAATCGGGTCATTGATAACCAAGTAACCTAGTTTACTCTGTTAATTTGTATAAAAAGCTTCATTTCTCCGAGTTGGCATATAATGTCCCGGTCGGCATTTAATGTCCCAGTAAAAAACGTTGAAAATCCTTACATCTTGGAGCCACCGAATCCCTTGTGCAACAGTATCCTCTCTCCGAAGCAAATGAATCTGCCTCAGGAGCCAATCATCAATAGCATCTTCCATCACCAACTGTAATATCTGTTTTGACATCCAAAAGACTTGTCGTCTGCAATAATAGAAACAGTGATATTAGCTACTTAAGCCCAGGGAATTAAACAGATCAACAGAGCCATGACCTATTTTCTGTATTAACATAAATGGTGATATTAGCTACTTCCGAGTCTGTGAAATCAAACAAATCAACAGAATCATGATTCATGATACTTATTTTAATTAAATATTAGCTCAACTTATTTTGATATGTTGAGCTAAAATAATTTAAATATAACAATGAGAGGTGCAAGCACAAAACTCTAACTCACTTCACCATGTGGTTTCAAACCATATCAAAATCAAAAAAGGCCTGTCATCTTAAAATCATGAGTTGTTAGGTGTAATGCAAGTCTAGGAATGAGTCGGGTATCTAACACCGAGTAAACTTTCATAATACAATAAGATGACTTGCAAACTAAAAATATACTTAAAAAGACAACACCAAAGGAAGGCTCTGCAAATTGGTATAAGAATAAAAATTTTAGACAAAATAGTGTTGGGCATTGTTTCTAGCAATTACTGACTTGAATAAACGGAAGGACCAAATAGAGTAATATACCTTATCCAACCTCTCTTCTTAAGTTTAAATATCGTGTCAACCAAATTCAAAAGAGGGACACTGACATTAGATGGGGACCACTGCAAAAAAAAAATCAAACTTATTACTACCTCCGTCCCAAAATAAGTGCCATAGTAGACACTTCCACACAAATTAAGAGAATGTAATAAATGCAAGAGAGAGAATGACGATTTTACAAAATTATCCTTATTGGCTATTGATGTATTTTAATTATCATTAATGCGAGAGAAATAGTAAATTAAGAGTATTAATTAGGGATACAATTGAAAAATATAAAAAATGCATTGGAAACTAAAAGTGACACTTCTGTGTTTTTAACCAAAACAGAAGTGTTTGCCTAAAAAATGAATGCAAAAATCCAAAAATGTCCCGTGAAACTCCCTTCCTGCTCCCTCCAAGTTCTCAAATTACTATTATTTAGAGAAGAGTAAAATGAGGAGGGGCTTTCCTGAACACTAATATGTTTGCCTAATGCTTCTCGTTTTTAATTATGAAAGAAAAAACAAGTTATTGGAAATAACTTCCTACCAAAGCATTTGGCAAATATTAGGGGAAAAAGAGATTTAAAGATCAGAACAAGTCAGTGAATGTTAGGATGCCCCATAATAGTTCAGCTTCTTCCAATATTTGGTGGATGAGAAATGCTAATAACACTCTTTTCAACACTCTCTCTAACACTCACTCTCTCATTGGTTGAAATGTGTGGGTTCTACCATTTTATGTGAGACCTATTTACAAAGTGAGGGACCCACACATGTTTCAAGCAATAAAAAAGTGAGTGTTTGAGAGAGTGTTGAAAAGAGAGTGTTGCTAGCACTCCTCTTGGTGGATTAATCTGATGGGCAACACAACAGCCAACACAAGAAAATGAACCAAGCTTTTAGCGTGCTAATGAATGAACTTAGTAAAGTACAGATTATTTTCTTCTTTTCATTTTAAGTTTTTTGTCAGAAAGGGAGAAAACAAAGCAATGGAAATATTAATGTTGTATGGTTTTCATCACGGCTGACATTCCTTGACAGAGCATGCCGCATTCTAGACTGCAATATATTCCAGAAACAATAACCAGCAAGTATATAATCTAAGCACACACCGATAATTACTAGAGCAGAAAGTCAAGTTTCTCAATCATTAAAGACTTAAATGTAAAGAGTAACTTAGAAAAGCAAACTCAGCAAACTACACAGACCTCAGGTGGCACTCCAACAGGATCCACCAAATTATTGCGAGTAAGAACTAAATTTGCAGCTGGAACATCATTGCTAACCCTAGCTTCCCCCGACAGATCACACTTTCTATCAAAATCCAAGTTGCTGGACTCGTCAGTATGGTCTGTTAAAAGTGGTGGGTGACCCTTCGAGATCAATGCATTGTCAGATTGCCATCCATTATCTTGTACTTCTTCTCTGTCTATATTATCATGGTCTAAATTACTGTTCCTATCACCTTCCTCAGTATCAGAGCTTAGCACACTTTCTGTGGCACTTCGCTGTGGGGTACTTTTATCCAATTCATCTGCATTCCAGGACAAGTACAATGTGGTAGATGTAGAAGCTCCTTCATTGAAGAGGGATGGTGATCCACTAACCTTTCGCCTTAAACCATCTGAAACCCCCTTAAATTGCCGTACAATATCATCCACAGCATCATCTACATTGACTATTGATATAAAACATTCAAATATTGTGTTTGGAATCAGTACAAAGAAAAAACCCAAAAAAATAAAATAAAAAAGGTATATAAACTAAACAAAATGAAATCAATCCTCTTATAAATAGGTATATAACAATCCAGTTTATTTTACAAAGAAAATGAAAGAAAAGGCTCTAGTCCAAAACAGTTTCTATCATCAGAAAAGTCATCATAAAATACATCATAGTAGCTGCATGGCCTTCTATTATATCCTGCTCATAGCCACAACAATGACAGAGAAGTTTATGTCTAATGGCTTGAATCCCCAAATCACAGAGAAAAGGCATACTAAAATGGCAGAGCATGAAGCTTTTTTTTTTTTCTTTTTCACTTCTACTCAGTCTTTCTTTTTAATGTATTATAATGGTAACCAGGCTTTTAACAATTTCACAAGTTTTATAATAGAATCACCAATCAAACATGTTATTTATTCAAAGAAGATTGACAAGAGAGTATCAATCCCATATAGCAGAGGCTGAACCCAAAAATGGGATAGCGGGATAGCGATATAACTATTATTTGACTATTTTTTAGATTAATTCTATGAATAATTTATAAAATATACATTTAATATTTAATGTAAAACCAAACAAATAAAAGAGGAAAAAGAAGAATAGAGTTATTAAATGGCTATTACTTAAGAAAATCATAGGATAATATGAATAAAGAAGAGAAAAGAAAGAAGAAGAAAGAAGAGAAAAGAAGGATGAAGAAAAGAAGACTTTAAAAAGCAGAGAAACAAAGAAAAGAAATAAGAAAGAAGAGAAAAGAAAGACGAAAGAAAAGAAAAGAAAGAAATAAGAAGAAGAAAGAAGAAAAGAACAGAGAAGTAAAAATCAACTTGAGAAGCGCTTATTTAAAGGGTAAATCTGGGTTTTTGCGTTCAAAACAGTTCAAACCTGCTTGGGCCGGAAAGCACTACGTTCCCGCTACCTGCTAAACATCAAATAGCGGCCACTTTCTCAAACTGAGATGCAAACCGCTCCTCCATAGCGGAGGGTCACCGCTACGGACCGCTATCCCAGGATAGTGCCGTTATTGATAGAATAACTACAGCCTGAGTTCTTAAACTTCTTTATGACATAAATCAAAACGTTACAGCTAAAACTATATACCTGCCAAGGTCTTTATCACAGAAGAAGATTTTCCAAACGAGTAGTTCTTCAGGAATAAAGAAACAAAAGCTTGTAAGATTCTCATTTTTTAAACCCAAAAATTACCAAGAGGGATTATAAAAAGGTAACTCATTAAAAGCAATGCTAAGAAACATCAAGCAGATACACACCTTTGAGGAAACACTAAAAAAGTCCCATACTTCATGTTGTTCAGCAACATTAGCAATTGATAGAAGATCCTGATGTAAGACAGCATAATTTAACGAAAGACAGAATTGTTAAACAGAAAAAAAAGGAAAGGAAACTGTCTATTTAAATTTTAAAGATATTACTTTTTTGGAACAAGGAATAAAATACCCGGAGATATTTATCAAGCTGAATGCAACGTTGATGTACAAAGGCATCATCAGTGCTTGAGGAAAATATCCTTTTAGGAGGCAAATGTAATGTGTAATTTGGAATATCTTTAAGATGTCGATGCAATCGCTCAAAATTCCTGTATCTGTATACCACCAAAAGATATTATTGTAAAGTCAAAGCACACATAGAGATGGAGAGAGTTTATCATATTTATTCTGTATGATGGAGCAGTTTAAAGTTAAAAAAAGGAGAGAAATATTAGACAAGAAAAAGTTAAGTTTGAAAGATTCTTAGGACTTGGATTGGGTCTAACTCAACTCATACAAATCGGCTTCTAAGGTGAGGACTGTCCACTTTATAAATGTTAAGAGTTCCACATCGGACAATATATGACCTGAACATATATTTATACGCGTGGACAATTCTTACCCTACAAGCCGGTTCTGTTTCGATGAGTTAGGCCCAACTACATTTCTTAACATGGTATTAAAACCTAGTTTAAGATCCGGTGGGCCACCTGCTATCAGGTTTCTGCTACTGTTATCGAACAACCCACCATTTATTTCCATGCTCCAGTTGTCCAGTCCTGGATGTGAGGGGGTGTGTTAAGAGTTCCAAATCGGACAACATATGATCTGAAGACGTGCTTATAAGTGGGGGCAATTCTCACCCTACAAACCGATTTGTATGGATGAGTTAGACCCAACCATAATTTTTAACAATAAACATATTTTTAGGTCATATCTCATTTAATATGAGACTCCACGCACACTTAAGAATGGACATCTAGAGCGTGACCCGATAACATGTAGTTCAATGGATCTTGAACTGGCTCTAATATCATCCTATAATTTGGATTGAGCTTTAACCCAACCAATAAAATTGATTTGTAGGTGAGGAGTGCCCCTAATTTATAAATTAATTTTCAGGTCATATCTCATTCAATGTAAGACTCTTGATAAACCTATTTATTTTGTGCCCCTAATTTATAAACTAATTTTCAAGTCATATCTCATTCAATGGAAGACTCTTGATAAACCTATTTATTTTGTACGATTAAACCCAAAATAGGGAAAAGAGAAAGATTAAACAAGTAGAATTCAGTTATCTTGGCATTTTATTCAGATAGAACAAAAAATCTAACGCCTTGCAGATACCAGTTTAAGTTGAAATCAAATAGTTTGTAAAATTTCAAATTTTAAACAAATATAAAATGTGCACGCTCGATCGCACATTACTATAGAAATGTACTAGTATGAAAAAAGCAAACCTTCTTTTTACAAACCAAGTTCTATTTTGTGCATCAGTAACTTCAATTGAGTAGACAGCAAAAGATGTGGCCCCAATTTTCTCAAAATATGCTCCCTTAACCTGCAATGTTTAAGTAGACAAAAACAATAATCAAGTACTCATAGTGAAATATTATATCAGAAATACCATCAGTACAGCCCTGATTTATGAAAGGGTGGGCGGGTAAAGAAAGCAGATTTTAAACCAATGTGCTTTTTAGAATACTAGTATATTTCAAAGCTATTAAAGCCAAAAATGCATACCCGGCACTGGAGCTTTGAAGCTAATTGCCCTTCTTTCCTAACTATCATGTCAGAAGAACTCTTTCCCCGAAACCCTTCACCGTGCCTCTCAAATTCTGGGTTGTAAAATTCTGAAATAATGGAGCTGCTTTCTTGATTGGGTTGAACTCCCAAGGCAGAAGCACTGCTAGACCTCTTTAGTGAACTTTTATACCCATCAGAAGCAATATCCTTTGTACCCTTCACTTTATCAACTCTAAGCTCTTCATCAAAAGATAACTTCTTGTCAGGGTTTTGAAAAGATTCTGACCTATTTGTTCTTGCAACACTTTGTAGGTGATCCGAAGCCAAGTCATGCGTTGAAGGTAGATAAGACTTCACTTCTGGAGCTTCATACTTTCCACGTTTACTCGCTAATGTTTCCTGGGCCAATTTTCTATTCGGCAATGAGCTGTCAGTGGCAGGACTCTTAGGAAGATCTTTAGATCCAGGTTTGACAATTTTGTTCTCTTTCCTTTTGTAATTCCTTCCTTTCGCCCACATGTTCTCAAGATTCTCAGGCATGAGAATTTCAGTTCTCCTCTGAGTTGCAACCTCCAACATTCGTGCCCAATCAGCAGGCTTGGCCTGTGAAGATTCTTGCTGGAGTGGATTATATTGTAACGATGTCTCTCTCCGGTCACTCGTATTAGATAATGTCATACCAGTTTCTTGATTTGAAGATGGATGCTTATAAGAGGGTGTAAGATTGTCGTGTACACCCCCAGTAGCAACAGAACGGCCTTGACCATGACTTGGTACATTAGTCGACTGATCACCACCCGTCCACTTTTTACTGTCATCGTTAAGGAGGAGTAGAAGGGACTCAATGAGCTCATTTATAAACCTGATAAAAATATGTACATATTTTATTACAAGTATGTAGTAAAAACTAAAAGAAACGAAGTTGAAAAATGCTAAGCCAAATTTTCCATCTCATAGATGACAATTATGATACTTTTCTTTATTAAATCAGGAAGTAAATGCTCTACAAATTCTGTATTAAAATGTTCTCAACTATTGCAGTTAAACATGTAGCATAAATCATTCACATGTCTTTGCCAAAATCCAAATAGCATAAGCTTGTGGTATAAGTGGCAGTGTTGTCTAAGGCAGATGGCAGAAAATAGTGGCGGGCCAAAATTCCGCCATGAAAATAAATACTCACAAAAAGCAGAAACGACACCAAGAATACCAAAAAAACAGAATTCATAGGACTTAGAAAAACAGAATTATAAATAGAGAAAACTAGAATTGGGGTCTCAATCACAGAAAAACAGAATAATATATTGAAAAATAGAAAAACAGAACTTCTCTTCAAGTTCCAGACTTCAAAATAAAACAGAATTCACGTACTCTTCAAGTTCCAGACTTCAAAATATTCAATTCAAAGAACTTCTCAAAACATTCAAAATAAAAGAACTTATTCAAGTTCCATACTTCAAAATAAAACAGAATAAAAAAGACTTGAAACAACAAAACACTTCTCATCCAATTCTTCAAAATTAACATTATAAGGTAAATATCTCTAATCTTCTTCTCCTGAATCTCCAAATTCCATAATTTTAGCAAACTCCTCCTCCTCCTCCTCCTCTTGTTTTGCCACTGCTACATCATCATTGTATTAGAGTAAATATAGAATGTAGCTTAGTAGAATGGCTGTACTGACATCTGTCAGACCTAGAAGTATAAATCACCTGCTATAGCAGGTCACCGTGTTACTCCATAAGTAACAAGGTGTCAACACACTTGTAACTAACTCTTGCAAATAACTGAATTCAGTTATAGAATGAAAACAGAAAATGTATCTTCAGTAGCTTAGTTTCTAACATGGTATCAGTTTAAGCCACTGATCTAGGTCCTACGATGACGGAACCACCATCGTCACCGGTGCCTACACCATCGCCTTCCGCTCACATCTCCGGTACGACCGTGCCAGCGGTGACAAAATCTTCAGATGATTCGAATTGCCTTCAGTTTCCGCTCAAGGTCGCGCACAAACTAGATGAGAAGAGCTTTCACTTGTGGCATCAACAAATCGAGCCGTACATTAACGCTCACAACCTCACAGAGTTCGTTGTATGCTCACGCATTCCGCCTCAGTTTGCTGATGATGAAGCTCATGCTTCTGGTGCAGTTAATCCTGACTACACTCGCTGGTTGCAGAAAGATCAGATGCTGTTGTCATGGCTGCAATCGACGTTGTCTAGCGAAATCCTCTCACGAGTCCTTGGCTGCATCATGCTCGTCAGCTACGGGATCGATTGTTCAACTACTTTTAGAAACAAACTCGCGCCAGAGCAAGACAGCTGCACGTTGAACTTCATGCTCTTAACACTTGAGAATTCCACTGTGCAGGAGTATTTGCTCAAAATTCGCAATATGGTTGATGCACTTGCATCAATTGGCGATCCAATCCCTGGTTCACATCACATTGATGTTATTCTGGAAGGATTACCTTCTGAAATTGCCTCCTATTACCTAACAAGACCCTTAATATCCAAATTAAGGGCTCTTGTCTAACTCATTCATTCAATAAAAAAGTTGAATTTCAGAGCAAGGTAGGTACACCTATGCATTACCGACTCTGAAAGTTCAAAGAGCTATTGCATATATGAGACTATAGATGATTCACAGACTAGCACTATCTTGGCACTGAAATAATTAACTCAAATAGTTATAACAGTTGTACAGTACACTGACAGCTGTCAGTTAGCCATAGGGTAACCTGTTATTACAGGTGATCACTTGGCTTCTTTTAAAGCAAGTGTTGTAATCGGATTGTAATAGAATTGAGCTCAATGAAAATAGAAATTCAGAGATCAATTGAATATCTCTCTTAGTATCTAATATTACATGAAGGGGGTAAAAGAGTGGGTAAGCTAGACATATATAGTATAAAATCATTAATGTGCCCTCACCTAACAACTTAAATTTTGATGAGATATTTAAATAATGATGTTCTTTGATTAATCAATATGATATTTACTATTTTAAACCTATCTTAAAATATAGGAATTAGTTTTTTATGAAACATGAAGGTATGATAGATGGAAAGAACCTAAAACCATTGGTTCGAAAAGAAACAAAATGATTATGATTACCACATCTTAGCGTTATGCCACAAAATGTCATTATAATTAAGAGCTTCTTGTATTCTTTTCAATTATTATGCACAGATCACTCAAAGACTCGTTGTCAAGATCTCGATCTCTACCTTAAAATCTTATGATTTTGTGATCTCATGCACCCCCAACGATCCAGGTCTTAAATAGAATCGTGTTTCGTGTATGGTAGAAAGACCAAGTACGATCGTTGATCGCTGCAAAACCGTAATGAAAATCTGAAGAAAATTTTTTTGACATCGTTGATTATGTGCAATCCTGGCCAATTCAGGCCCCAATCGGCCGTTTTCCAACCACCACCATTACAAGCCGAAAAGAAACGAGTAAAGGAAGAAATAAGAAAGAAATGAAGGATGAGGATGACAAGATGCAGAAGGAAACAATTACAGTTCGGCGACGGTGAATGCATGCATTTGGAAATAATAAAGTTTTTTATTTAGGATTTAGAGAATTAACTTCTCAGGTTGTAGGGTTTGTTTTACATAATGGGCTTATGATAAACCACCAAGTAATAGAACAAATATGCCCCTAATGTCTAACAATGTTGACTTATTGAAATGGTAATAAAGTATAACAACTCATTCTTTCATGTCAAAAAAATATGAAAATGATCATTTTTCCAAAAAAACACTTGCCTACCAAAATATAGTGTAAAAATATGTTGAAGTTAGAAATACTACTGTAGATATAATTACTCTCAATTAATATCATTTAGGTAGCAACACTAGAGGGAAATTATTTTCCTGATTTTTAGGCCTGATTAGTGTAGGTTCAGTTCCCTGTATTCTATATATACCTCATTTATATCAGTTCTAATATATAAAATATACCACAAAATACACTTAAAATCTAGGTTATTTTTCACTTTGATAGAATTGCATAATGCAGTTAGGGAATTCAGTTAGGAAATTCTCATTGTATTGCATGATAAATGAGATACAATGAACTCTCATTATATAGAGAGTTAGTTGTAACAGAAACTGTATCAGAAAGAAAATAGAGATCCAACTAACTCTTACAACTCAGCATTACAAGACAGTTCAGCAAACTATTATATTATAAACTGCTAACTAGTTTACTAACTCTATCATTCCCCTTTAGAAGTGGAGGGTGTACTTATCAAACTTTATTTGTTGAACACCCTTAGCTTATCACGAAGAGGAAGAAACTTTACTGTAGATAGAGGTTTAGTTAAGGCATCTGCCCACTGATCTTGAGCTGGAACATGAGCCACAACAAGACTCTTGTTTAGAACCTTCTCTCTCACAAAGAAGATATCTAACTCCATTTGCTTGGTCCTATTATGTAGGTTAGGGTTATGTGCTAGAGTAACAGTGCTCAGATTGTCACATAAGATCTTTGGAATCTAAAAATGGCAGTGCAATTCCTTAAGTAGAGACTGAATTCAGAGTATTTCAACAGCAAGTTGAGTCATGCTGCGATATTCTGCCTCTGCACTTGATCTGGCCACTAGCTGTTGCTTTTTAGACCACCAAGATACAACATTAGGATCAAGAAAAACACATGCCCCTGAGGTAGACCGTCTGTCATCTGGATCTGATGCCCAATCAACATCACAGAAACCAAGCAAAGTCAAAGGCTGCTGAGCAGGTGCAGGTTGGATGAGAAGTCCATGATGAAGAGTGCCACTCAAATACCTCAATATCCTTTTGACAGCCTTCTAATGTTCCTCCCATGGATTGGACAGAAACTAACAGTGGAGTTCAATGATAACAGCTTTGCGATGCTTCTCCAATCGTGATTCATGCGCAAGAAGACACGACTCAAGCTCATCAAGCGAACCTAGCTCTTCCTTACTGTTCACAGCAGCAACAATGGAGTCGTATTCCTCAGGAAGTGCATCAAGAACGATTTCATTTAGGTTACGAAGAGGAACAGGATCTCCAACCGAAATCAGCAATTTACTGATTTCGCGAACACGAACCATGAGTTCCTCAATCGTAAGTGATCCTTTGGCGAGACGACGCAGTTTCGAGCAAAGTTGACGAGCTTTGGTGGTGAGTAAGGTGTTGAAGTAGCGATGAACTTCAGTTCACGCCTGCCATGAGTGTTTGCAGTCCACTAGCTTCGGAAGAAGCGAATCAGAGATGGTGGATAGGAGCCACGTCAAGATGAGCGCATCTTGTTGCTCCCAATCAAGATGGCAGAATCAGAGTCGAACTGAAACCGTTGAGGAATCGCCGGCACGGTGACAAATCGCTGCAGCTTGTGACCGCGAACAACGCCATCGATTTGTTGCTTCCACTACTTGAAGTTCTTATCATCAAGCTTGACAGAGATTAGATGTGAAAGCTTGATATGTGACGACGGAAACAGAGAATCCATGGAAGCTTTCTACTGGATCGAAAAAGAAGCTCTAGATACCATGATAGAATTGCATAATGCAATTAGGGAATTCACTTAGGAAACTCTCATTGTATTGCATGATAAATGAGATTCAATGAACTCTCATTATATAGAGAGTTAGTTGTAACAGAAACTGTAACAGAAAGAAAATAGAGATCCAACTAACTCTTACAACTCAGCATTACAAGACAGCTCAGCAAACTATTATATTATAAACTGCTAACTAGTTTACTAACTCTATCACACTTTAGTAGGACCTTACAATTTTTGCTACGATTTTATGGTTTACGATCTTGCGGATCTTACAAAATAATTGGATATGATCTTCCGATCTTAAATGCAATCTTATGTTTTATGATCTTGTTACGCCCTCTTAGTCTTACGCAACATCTGGATCTTGACAACTCACTACCTACTAACATCCTAAATAATGTAATGATTTTTCCCTACACTCTGCTTAGACATTTAAAATATATGAAACTTGCTTCTGTTCTAGTAGCTTCCATTTCACCTCTCAACCTTCAAGGTTATATGATCAACGGCCTCACTTTTTCTAGCTTCATAGTTTTAAATCTGCAACTTCAACAAAAAAAAACAAAGAAAAAAAAAGTCTAAACAGAATACAATCATTTTGGACTTGTGTGACAGTGACATACATAAATAGGAGAAGGTGGACAAATAAGTAGAGTCATACTCTGCACCATAACAATGTTTGACAATTATTGTTTGTCATTACTCTCTTTTTTCATCTTCCTGTTTTCTGCCTACTTAACCAAATGAGCCCTGAATATGTTTTTAACCAAGGAAAAAACACCTGACTCCCTATTAAACAGGCATTACGCAAAAGACTAATCAAAATTTTGAATATGAAGCAGCAACAACCGTCCATAGAGCCCATATTGTTAAGATCCACCAACCCGAAAATGAATAATTGCAAAAATAAATGTAAGACAAAATATTCAACAACATACACAGGGCTTGCCAAATTCATAATAGGCTGCATCACCAAGCAAGTCAAAAGTTCCCGAGCTATTGAGCGAATCACGGGACAGTGAGCTTCTCGTTGCCTTAGTACTGTGGCTAAAAGTGCACTCATTAGCCGCTGAAGAACCTACAAAAAGAGCATTTGTCAGGTAAGATAAAATAAATAGCTTTCAAAAGAAACATATATAACATCGGAACACTCCGCTGATCCACTCACACCTTGTACTCACTCTCAGGAGATATTAGTGCTGGATGAAGCTCCTTAGAGTTCAACAAATGAAATTTCAATCTGTCATCCCTCTCCTCTGAAGATAATGTTTTCATAACATCGACACCTATAGCAGCTTGATTTCTTCTGAAAAGTTCCAAGTGGTCCCCTATTAAATCAACTAAATCCCTGGAATGTAAATGAATCAAAAGAAGAAGGTTAGTAGTTTCCGCAATACTCTCTTTGGCGGCAATTATAGGAGATGAAAAATAACATACCTAGTCAACAAGTCAACAAGGTTTATCTCTTTAACTCTTGCTGATATTTCGGCAAGAACGTCCATGATTATAGCATGTATCTGATCAGGAAACTCCCTATCAGGAGTAATTTCCGAGTACCACAAATCAACCACGAAATCCTTCAAAATCTTATCAATAAAATCACCCATTGCTTCTTCAACAACAGGAGAGTCAATTTTCCTCTTCCACTTAACTGGGGAAGGCGCACTAGAGAGGCGTGGATCATTCAAAGACAACTGCTTTTTTTCTAAATGAGATAGATATGTATGTGATCTAGGTTGTCGAACCTTCCAACGAAATTCCACATTGTTTACAAGAATGCGCAAAGCACAAACAAATAGAATTGACATTGGTACATTCATCCACATCGATTTACTCGTATCTGTCACAGATAATCAACATAGATAACGTGAGTACAATGAAAGAAAAAACACCAATAGAACCACAGTACAGATACAATTATACAATTGTCTTTATTGTTTCCTTCTAACATAGATAGAGAGCAAGGTTGTCGAGATCGGGAGGGGATAATAAGATTGTTAAACATAATATCGTTACTAAGATTGGAAGGTCCTACCTAATTATTTTTGTAAGATCGAAAGGGGGTAGCAAGATCGTAAAACATAAGACCGTAACAAAAATCGTAAGATATTACTAAAACAGAAAATAATACTATATATTTGAAAGTTTGTTACAGAATATTTTGGCAGTCAAGTGTATTCTAGGGAAAAAGGCCTCCACCGAACCGTAATTATTGTGCCTCGGCATCTTGTCATCCTTTTGGACTAATGATGCCATGGTGGCCAGAAAACGGCCAACCATGACTGAGACTGGCCAAGATCGCACATAATCAATGGTTTTACAATTATTTTCACAAATTGGCTGCAACACACTATTCTACTTAAGATTGGAATCGTGGGGGTTGAGTGAGATCTCAAAATCATATGATTGTAAGATCGAGATTGAGATTCCGACAACCTTGACAAAGACACATTGTCCTCGAAAGATGCATAGCCTAGTGGTATAGGGTTGGGACGCTGACGAAGTAATAAGAACCCGCTACACTACTAACAAAATGACACCCCCTAAGAAACTAACCACTAACATTTCCTTAAAACAAACAAAAACTCTACATTTGCAGTCAACTAAAGTCCAAAACCATAAAGAACAATAACATTGGAGCACAACCATCCAAAACCACAATAGTCCCAAACTAAACAACCACAACAACTTGATGCATGTATGGAATTTCATATCAATGACTATTACCAACAAACTTAATAGATTTTTTTATATCGGCAATTTGCACCTAGCATAATTCGAACATGAAACCTTGAGAGAAACACACTCTCTAAACCCCGACCTTCACCACTAGCCACACAATCACACTCCAAGGAACTTAATAGTTAGCACCTATCATCAACAAAGACTAAGCAAGCAAAATAGATCAAAATTGAGCTAAGAATTCCAACAACAACAAAAAACTGAAATCACGACGAGAAGAAACCGCATCAGAGTTGCAACTGAATGAGACTTACTGGTGAGAAAATAAGAAACGGCGAAAATAGCGAGAGACCACCAGAGAGTGCGGAGCTTGAGCTCTTGGATCAGATCATTGACACTCTCCATGGGCTTCTTCTTCATTGAACTTTCACCGCCAGAATCAAACAAGAGCGTTAGAAATCATGGAGAAGCTTTGTTTACCCTAGGTCTAATCTTGTGTTTGGGTTTGATTCCTTTGATTCGCTCTGGTTTGAAAGAAAGAGAAAAAGAGTAATACCTGGAAATTGAAATGAAAATTTGAAAAGAATATTCTTTGTGGTGTTGTTGTGGGTTATGAGTTGGTCCTCTTTCCTAAAGTGCCGCCACCAGTGATAACGATTACGTGCGTGACATGTAATGTTAGTTCGTTTTTTCACGGAGCCTCACATTATTTATTTACCTGTTCAATTTTATTTTTAAAAATGTTTAGTTTGTAGTTCTCGATTTCTCCTTTTCACGAGATTTCATTTTGCTTATTTAAATGTTCTCAATTTCATAAGAATTCAAATATTAATTTCCGTATTTTTTAGATTACCAATCACGATATTTTTGCAATGTTTTTTATTTTGCATAAATAAATTTTATTAAAAAGCGTGTGTAGTCACGAAACCACTCTTTGCTGGTTAATTTCAATTATTTGAGGTAATTTTAGATATTTTATGAGAAAAAATATATATATTTTACACTATTAATCAATCACTAATGTATTTTCTATCAAATTATATGTTTAATTTTAAAATAATAATATGATATGATAAAATGTTATAATTTTATTAAAAGATGTTGTAAAACTAATTTATAATAACAATTTATTATCTTTAATCTCTTATTTTATTATTTATAATATGAATTCCAATTTATAACTCAACATTGTCTGTAAAGTTAGGATATAAATATAGGTTAGTGTTTTTGTTTTTTTAGGAATTTGCTTATATGAATTATATAAGAGGTGATATGATCTTATGTGATTATTGGTATTGTTGTATTACTTTAGAGTTCTTAAATTAATTAAGAGAAGTTTGTTAGATTCTTAACAAACTTTACTCATTGCATAATATTATTTAGGGTGTGCTTGATATAATAGAAATAGGCGAGAGAAAAATGACATCTCTTATTTCTTATGTTTAGAATAATAAATAAATAGAGTAAACAGAAGTAACAATTAGTTGAGTTTGTAATTTATTGTGTCGAAATAGTGTAGCTCGACAGAAAAAATGTCTAGTTGAATAGTTTAATGTGTGTGTACTAGTATGTCGAAGTGTCGAAGCAGGTTGTTTCACATAGGATTTCGACTTAGGCATATTTTAGTAATGTTAACTATTTTGGACTTTTATAGTTTGGGTTTTACCTTGGGTAGAGAGTATAGGAACATCATGACAAGGCAATGACAAGGCTGCATAACTTGGTCAAATATCAGTTCCTAATTCTTAGGCTAACTTAGAGTAACAAATCAATTAGTATTAGTTGACATTGATTTGCTGTTAATTACCATTAATATTTACATTCATTACATTTGTATATAATATAATACTATATATGTAATACATCATTTATTAATTAAACGACAACATCACAGTATTTTGTGTTCTTATATGGTATCAGATTCAAAAAAAAAAAAAAGCTTAACAACAACGATCCAGATCTGATCCTTCATCATGCCTTTAGTTCATACTATCAAAATCAGTGAAACTACATCAGTAATAGTTATCAATGCTCAAACCTCAATCAAACTCACTCGCTCCAACTACCCTACGTGGAAGGTCCAATTCAATGCTCTCATGGTTGGATATGACCTTCTAGGATTTGTTGATGGAACCAAACAATGCCCCGCAGAAACTCATACTGACTATACTTACTGGCAACGCCAAGATCAGCTGATACTACATGCCATCATATCCTCGGTAGATCCGAGTATCATCACCATGCTTGGTAATGTGAAAACTTCCAAACAAGCATGGGACATTCTCAACAAGATGTTTGCCAGCAAAACTCGCTCTCGCATCATGCATCTCAAAGAACGGCTATCTTGTTTCACAAAAGGAACGCAATCTATCCTGGAGTATTTGTAAGCAATCAAATCCATGTCTGATGAACTAGCTGTCATCAACTCTCCACTGGATGATGTAGATTTAGTCATTCATACACTGAACGGACTTGGACATGAATTCAAAGAAATTACTGCTGCTCTTCGTACTTGTGAGAATCCAATAGAATTCGATTCTCTTCATAACTTGTTGATTGATTATGAAAGTCACCTCAAAAGAGATGAAGATATATCTCCTATAGCTTTTGTCCATGCAGCATTCAAAGGAAAACCACACTACACAAAACGTGGTCACACTCCTAATCACAACAACTCATTTCAACAAAACAGATCTACTCCTCCTGGATCTTCCAAGAGAATCACATGTCAATACTGTGACAAGGATGGTCACACGGCAAAAGTGTGCTACAAACTTCACGGCTACCCACCAAAGTACAATCCTAGCCCATCAGCTCATTATACTCTGGCACATTCATCTAGAAATACACCAGATTGGATCATGGATTCAGCAGCTACTCATGATGTTACCAATCAACTTGATAACCTTCATTTGCAAAGTCCTTACACTGGAACAGATCAAATCATCATTGGTGATGGATCCACCATTCCAATAGCCAACACTGGTAAGATTACTATTCCCACAAAAAAATACAACTTACACTTTCCTAAAGTCCTTCATGTTCCAAATATCTCACAAAATTTATTATCTATTTCATCTCTATGTCGAACTAATCTTGTTTCGGTTGAATTTTTCTCTAATCATTTTTTGGTGAAGGATCTGAAAACAAAGGAACCACTTCTCAAAGGATTGCATAAAGATGGACTATACCACATGCCACCTCTCACTACTCTCATGGCCTTCATCAACACCATATCATCATCCTTACCATGGCATCATATTTTTGGTTACCCCAATGAAAGAACATTGAAACATCTCCTATCCATGAATAAAATAAACATAAAAACATCTTTACCATGCATCTCATGCAGTAGCTCTAAAAGCCACAAGCAGTCATTTACTTCTTCTAGTATAATTAGCAAAAGGCCACTTGAAATTATTCATGCAGATGTATGGGGCCTGCACCTATCAAGTCTTTAGATGGTTATTTATATCACCTTATTTTTGTTGATCATTTTACCAAATATATTTGGTTGTACCCACTCAAAAATAAATCTGATGTTTCAATTATCTTTCCTCAGTTCAAAGCTATTGTTGAAAAGTTTTTTAATTTACCCATTCTTGTGTTATACTCAGACAATGGAGGAGAGTTTATAAAATTAAAAACATTCTTATCCTCCAATGGTATCTCCCATTACACCACTCCACCATACACCCCTGAACTCAATGCTATTGCAGAACGAAGACATCGACATATAGTAGAAACGGCACGTGCACTTTTTCACCATGCTACCAACTATATTATGGTCATTTGCTTTTCGTACTGCAACATACTTAATAAATCAATTACCCCCCCGAAATCTCAACATGGACACCCCATATCAACTACTCCACCACACCACACACAACCCTCACCACCTCCACTCATTTGGATGCCTCTGTTTCCCTTGGCTACGCCCATATACCAGCAACAAACTATCCTTTACCAGAGAATCTTAAGCCATCCAATGTAAGGAAAGCCATGCAACAACCACATTGGAGACAAGCAATATTTGAAGAAATTGATGCATTAATACACAATGGAACATGGTCCTTAGTTCCACCGCCAAAAGGCCACAACATCGTTGAGTTTAAATGGTTGTTTTGCATCAAAAGAAATTCAGATGGTTCTATCTCAAGATATAAGGCTAGACTAGTTGCAAAGAGGTTCACCCAATGCCCGGGAGTTGATTTTAAAGAAACATTTGCACCAGTGGTGAGACCTCAAACGGTCAAACTCATTCTCACTATTGCACTCGATAATGCTTGGCCAATGCACCAACTTGATGTTAACAATGCCTTTCTCCAAGGAGCTCTCAAAGGAAAAAAAATTATGGCTCAACCACCTGGTATGAAAGATCAACTACACCCTCAATATGTGTGCGAACTTCACAAGGAAATTTATGGCTTGAGACAAGCACCAAGAGCATGGCATGATGCACTTAAATCATTCACCATCTCCCATGGTTTTCAACTAAGTCAAAACGATCCTTCACTATTCATTTATGCTTCAGGATCAATTTTGGCTTATTTTCTTGTGTATGTTGATGATTTACTACTTACTGGCAATAATGCTAAATTTCTTACAAGCTTTATTACGTCTCTCTCAAATCGGTTCTCACTCAAGAATATGGGAACACCTCACTATTTCTTGGGAGTTGAATTCATCCCCACGGCTAAGGGCCTACTCCTATCTCAACATAAATTTATTCGAGATATCCTTGAAAAGTTTGAAATGGAAGGAGCCAAACCGTCCCCGACACCTCTCTCTCAAACAGACACTTTAAGCTTGCATGACGGAACCCCGACAACAGATCCCACACACTACAGAAAAGTCCTTGGATCACTTCAATACTTAAATCTAACAAAGCCAAATCTTTCATTTGCCATAAAAAAACTCTCACAATTTATGCACAAACCAACCACATTACATCTTCAACATCTTAAGAGAATGTTGCGGTACTTGAAATCCACAATTAATTATGGTATCATGTTACGCAAACCAACTTCTCTCAACTTACTTGCCTACACTGATGCAGATTGGGGTGGTAATGTTGATGATAGAACCTCAACCTTGGCATACTTAATATTTTTTGGTGGCAATCCGATCTCGTGGACATCAAAAAAATAAAGGTCAGTAGCTCGATCGTCCACTGAAGCAGAATATCGAGTAGTAGCAATAGGAGCAGCTGAGCTTATGTGGCTCCTCAAATTAATCAAAGAATTACGGGTTCCAATTCCGCAACCTCCAAGGATTCTATGTGATAATATAGGAGCAACCTATCTATGCTCAAATCCCGTCTTTCATACTAGGATGAAACATATCTCTATGGACTACCATTTTGTTCGAGAACAAGTTCAAGTTGGCACTCTACAAGTCTCTCATGTCTCTATAAAGGA